AAAAAAAAGTAAAACGGGAGGTGCGGAAGCACGGAAAGGTGGGGGGACAAAACAGAAACCGCGGTGCGCAGGCTGCGCGCAGCGCGGCGATGGTGCGCCCCGGCGGGCTGTGCCGCCTGCTGCTGCTGCTGCTGCAGGGCTCCCTCCTCCTGCTGGCCACAGCCCGGCACGGCCGCGCCGCCGCCTGCCCGCTCCGCCGAAAGGTAAGCGCCGCCCGTGGTGCCCTCCTGCCCGGGGTGCCCTCCTGCCCGGGGTGCGCTGCTGCCCCGCCCCGCCCCGGCAGCGCGGGGGACGCGGTCAGGTCCCCTCGGGGTGCGGCGGCGGCAGGGCGCGGCGTGCGGGGCCGCCCCGGCCGCGGCTGAGTCCCCTCTGTCAGGCGGGCGCGGTGCGCCGAGCTCGGGCGGCAAGCGCTCGGCAGCGGCACCGCGGCTTCCCGGGACGGAGAGGCAGGGTGCCGGGAGCGTGCATGGGGAAGGAGGACCCTGGGGTGAAGCCCAGCAGGATCTTTTGCCTGCGGTGAGTAGGACGAGCTGCGCTGCCCGCCAAACGATAGATTGGCCGGGAGTGACTTGTTCATGCCATCCCGCGCAGGGTTGCCGCCTAGTCCCACTTCAGAACGCCGAGCGTGCTGGAACAGGTTCGGACCAGGAAATGGCCGTTTGGTGTGAAAACGCGGTTACACGTTATGTTAGGTTTCGCTCGTCTCCTAAACTTAGCAGCTTGACTGCAGTAGCTAGGAGCAGCATGCACTGGCTTAGCTCCGGTGGGTGGTTAGCACAGCAGAGGATCCCTGCTGCAAGTTAGGGGTGATGGTACAGCCACTGTGAAGCTTGTGTAGACCGTGTCTGCCACTTCCACAAAAGATCAGAAAAAAATCGTTCCAGTTGAAGCTTGACGCTTCTGAGACAAAAGTACCAAAAATCATGTAGGAAAAGCCTTCTTGAACTAACTTTGTGTTAACAGGCCATCTGTGCTGTCTGTTGGCATCTACTTGGACCTGACATGCTTCTGGGATATGTGTACCGTCACTTCAGCTTCCCTCCCAGGTTAATTCCACTCTTAAGGAAACTGGAAGCCCTTAGAAGTAAATGCACACCTGCTGCACCGGGGAGGTGCCAAAGCCACAGCAGGCTCACTGCAGGGTAGGTGTGAGAAAGTTTTGCAGCTGAAGATGGTCTGCTCTGTGACTTTACTCCGCTCTCTCACCTGCTCATGCATCTACATTTAGCCCTTGTTCTTGGGGGCCTTCCTGCCTCTGTGAGCATGCTGGTTCCCCAGAATATCTTCTCCTAGGATTTAGGGCATTATGGAATCAGCCACATGCCAAGCTACATGTGCTTCGCTAGAGGTGTCTGTCTGAGCTTGAGTTAAACAGAGCCTAGCCCTACCTTGTGGGATGGTGTCGTTACAATTTGCTGGGAACCAGTTTGTCAACTGGATTTGTAGGTGGCCAGCTGTGACACTGCCATAAAGCCAGGTCAAGCCTTTGGAATGGGTACCCCCTTCTCCTTGAGGGCATGAGGTGCAAAAGATGTGGGCTGGTATGAAACTACTGCAAGGAGCTAGTGAGAGCAAGTACAAAGAGGACAGCTCCTGAGCAGAAGTCATACTTCTGGAAATGGATATGGAAATGGATAACTTCACAGGTTGGGTGGGACGTGCAGGAAGATTTTTTTTCAGAAACAAGTGACTGGATTTCTGCCAGTTGCTAGCAAGACTGGAGGTGAAATGTGTTAATGGTAGGTAATTATCTGCTGATTACACTGTCATTAAAATGTGAGACCACCTGTAGTTCTGGAATAGGCAGGCCGTTTCCGAGGGTCATTAGGACAATGGTAATAACCCCACTGTCTAGGAATGGCAGTGTCTGCCTTATTTACAAAACTGTTGAGTTTATCCTTATGAATATTTACATGAACTCCTTAGGGAAAATATACTGTTGTTCCTGCATCACCACGGATGGGTTTTTAATTTACTTTAGTTCTTTATAGGATTCCTTTTCATACTCTCTTAGACAGGTCTAACTTTCTTCTTTTTGTTAGGCTGCCTCAGTCTCTGCCATGAAAGAAGTATGTGCGTTGTTGCCTGAAAAGCTGCTATTTCAAGGAATGAACCTACAGTATTTCAGGAGGCTTTCTCATCATGACTCAAAATTATAGTTAAAGCTACAACCAATAATGTGCCTTATCATTCTCAAGGAAAAAAAAATACATTGAAAACAATTATTTTAAAATAAAGTATGCTGGAATCTTTTTGTGTTGTATTCCAGATACTATGTAATGTGGTCTGGTACTGTTTTCTTTTTCCTTAACATTGGAGTGCACTGGAAAAATCAAAGCCAGAAATCAGGGATTAATTGTGGAATGCTTATAGTTGTAGTTGGTTAGTATTTTATGATGTGTTGTTCCTGATAGAGGGCCAATTAAGTTATGTGGCTGCTTTTCCCCATATATGCCCTTCACATATGTCTGTTCTTAACCTGTGGCTTTTTAGTTAAAAACTTCATTTTTCATTTCTGGCACTTCGGATGTGTTCTTTTAGTAGCTGTAGCCAGGTGTTTATTCCCCAAGTGAGTTCTACTTTCAGTCTTAAGCTGAGTTTGAGAGTGTCAGTAATGCAGGTGGGCAAAAGCTCAAGTACTATTAAAAAAGTGGCTAACATTTTTGTGTGCATTACCATAGTTGCATGGGCATGTAGCGTGGTGAGTAAAATCTTTGCCCCAATTAGGTATAAAGGAACATGACAAGATAGGATGCCAGGATAGATAAGAGAGAGGGAGAAGGCCATAATAGGTAGGGTTATAGGGCTGCCTGCCTGGGTGAAATATTGCATGCCATATGCTTTGGCTTCTGTAGCTAGCAAGAAAAATAAGGCACAAGAATATTGTGGGTTGAGAAACAGTGCAGTTCTGGGCTGAGGTTTGGAAGGTGTGGTTGTGAGGTCAAGTGGTGAATATTAGGGGTCCTGAAAGACAGTGAAGCCACAGAGGGCATCTGCCTGCACAGTGAGGTATAAAATGCATAGTCTACATAGATGAGATAGAAGGAAGCAGAACTTGTGTAGAAGGAAGCAGACTAAGTCTAGGCTGTCCATGTCTTGGAGTTCTCGTCCAGTTCTTCAGTCTCTAGACTGTCTTCCTTTCCCTCTGACCCTTCATTCCCTGCATCACCACAGCCTTCTGTTTATACTTATACTTTTCTGGTCAGTTTTTTATACTCTCATGCTCTTCTAGACGTTTGGAGTGCTGTCACTAGATAAATTCTTTTCTCCTCTTGGTGTTTTTCTGAATTGTTTTCTGGATGTTTGCCAATTTTATTCTTGTTAGTATGTCATCCAGCCCAATTTGAAATAGATTCTGTTGGGAAAAAAAAAAAAAAAAAAAAAAAGACACTTTCTCTGATTTTCTTTGGCATTTCTCTTCCAGAAAAATCATTGCTGCCTCACTTGAAGCTGTGTATGATGTCTGACAAGCACAGTAGTGTTTGTGTATTTGAAGACTACAGGCTGCATCCTATAATGGATCTCTAAATAGTGCTGGATAAGCAAGCTGTTTGTGCTAGTTAAAACAAACAAAATCTGAGGCTTGGGGTTTTTTAATAAAAAAGAAGGAACCTCAGCTCCCAAGAAGTACCCTTGATGTGCACCGTGCTTTCACAGAATTTTTGCAGTGGCTGACACTGTTGTCCTGTCACGCTGGGGAAGTGTTGTCCGTCCCTGTGCGTCCCCATTGCACCTCAGTGGACGGTGGAGTTTGTCCCGTGTGCAGCCTTAGTTGAGAAGGAGGCTGTCCAAGTCTTGTGGTAGGGAGTGGATCCCACAAGTCCCAGTGCATTCTCTGTGACAGTGTCAGCTTTTTCACCTGGGGAGGTAAGGCAGAGGAGAAGGCATCACGCTGTAGTGCTGAGCATTCAGAAATACCTTGATCTGATGATTCCTTGGACCTTTGTGTGGCAGCAAGTTGGGAGACCTGTGTTGTCTTGTGAGACTTTCCCCTTGCTCAGGGTTTTTCCTGTGATGAGTAATGCATTGACTACCACCTGTAAGTTGTAGAGTGGAGACAGAAATATGTATCTATGCATCTTGATCTATTCATGAACCTTTTTGTTGTTACACTGCTGAAACTGAAATTCCTCAAGCTGCACAGCCCAGCTGCCATAAGCCTCCAGGACAACAGTTTGACTGTAATTTGTTTGTTTTAATGCACCTTTTTTTTTTGTTGCAGCATCTGTGTTAAAGGATCTTACTGCAGATGAAAATTGGGCTGTAGCACTTTTATCTACTGCGTGCTCTCAGGGAAGCGAGGTGCCACAGTAATGGTGTATGGTGTGATGCTGAGCAAGCCTCGGCACTGCTCCTGTGCTATTTCATGGCTACCTAGAGCACTGTTTAACAACTTCCCTTTTATGGTATTGGGGTGAGATTATATCCTTGCCTTTCCCTCTCTAAAGCTGCATTGAGACATGCAAGAGGTCTGCAGGGAGATGGGAGTGCCTGAAGGTACAGCAGGGCAAGACAGGCTTGCTCAGGCACACCAAGGGCTTTTCTCCTTCCCCACTCACACAGGAAGCTGTTTGCAGGGTCTGGCACAGAGGCAGTGCACTGCTAGGATTCCAGTCTCCACTTTGGAAGGAAAAGGGGATGCCAAAGGAGTGTGAGGCACTAGCATGTCCAGAGCGGCTGTAGTACCACCTTTTAGAGGGAGAGTGAGCTTTGGGAGCTCCCCATGTACCTTCACTTAGTGATGATAACACCTGCTGGTGCCCAGAAACTTATTCTGCAGGGTCCAGGAAGTTTCCCTGTCAGTGGTGGGACACAGAGGTTTTATGTCCTCGCATGCTGGCTCCAAGCTTTCTGTGGAGGTCTGAGTGGTGCTTAGGGTGATTTCTCAAGTTCACAACTACTTTTGACATGCGAGTGCCAGCAAGAGTGCTCAGCTGCGTTGCTTTGTAACTGTGTGAAAACTTTTTCTACATCTCAGCCTGCTTTCCTTCTGCCTGTGCTACAGGCTCTTTAAAGAAAAACTTCATGTACTCTGTGCCTAATGGCCTGTTTTATTTCTTCAGAGGTACCATTGGTACCAGGCAGTTACTACCCTGCTTTCAGTATCCGATTATGAAAGTTGTGGGGATAAGCAGAAAAAAAAAAACCCAGAGTATAATGCCAAAAGCCTTTCTAGCTGGGCTGTGTGCAGTAGTCCAGAGCAGTGCCAATGATTGTGTTAAAGTCTGTTACCAGTCACCTGGGCTTGAGCCTCTCGCTAGATTTATTGAGGAGCTGAAAAGCTGGCTGGTGACAACTTGTTCTGTACAATTCCTTGAAGTTGTAGGTGGTTTTGTGCACTCCCACCTACATGATCAGATCTGTGCAAAGAGAATTATCGACCTCCTAACCTCATGCCTGTCCTGAATGCCTCCTCTGTCTTTACACTTGCAGTAGATGGAAAGCAGCACTTTTGGTCCTTCCTCGTTGCTGCCTGACTACTACTTCCAGTTCATTTCTCACAGCAGCAACATGCCCTTTCATTTTCCCCTTCTGACTAATGCTGGGGAAGAATCCTGTCTCATTTTCCCTCTTGTTTTACTTTGCATATTCATTCTTCTGTATTCTTCTGGGGTCTATGTTAGATTTTTACTCACCTGTTGTGCTGTATCTCTGGTACACCCTAGGGCTCTTCATGTTTCTTAACCCTTCTTCCTATGGTCTTCAGGAGAGTTTTTGTGCTCTGTAATTCAGGTATAGGATTTGGAGTTGTAGGATGGTGTTGTCAGGATCTGAAGTATCCTTCAGATTCTTTATATGATGCAGAACAGTCTGAAGAGCCCTTTGGAATATATTTGGTTTCTACAATGCTCTTGGGCACGTGGTGCAGTTCTTGGGTCTCTCCCATGCAGCTCCAGGAGCTGGACTTCAATGATCCCTATGTGTCCCTTTCAGCTCAGGATATTCTATATTCTATAGTCCATGCGGGTGAAGTGGACTGGTGGTAGCACTTTGCTGAAGTGCTGCCTGATCTGTGGCCTGGTTTTGATGTACAGAGCTGCTGGAGAAGGTTGTCTGGGATGAGCCATTGCAGAGCAGTCTTTAAGATTAACCTTTCTGACCCTGAGTCTTTAGTGTCAGAAGTTTATAGGCAATGTGCTTCCAGTAAATTCCTCCAAGCAGCTTGTTCTGCTTTTGGCAGTCAGGCAGGCTTCTTAGATTAGCACACATGCACAGTTTGCCCCAGTGCTGAGGTTAGAGTTATCTGCTGGCTCAAAATTGACCAGATGTTTAAGTGCATCTGGAAGCCTGTTCTCTTACTTAGACATGCAAAGGCTACCTCTTCCTGTCTGTGCAGACAGACACCGCTTGTATCCATTGTTCCAGTAAGTACTGTGGCACCAGTGGGGTGCTGTGGGTGATGAAGGCTGTGCCTGCTGCTGCTGTAAAGTGAGTTGAAAGGATTCAAGCAGGATCCATGTTGTCCCATCTGCTCTTCTGTCCCGTGGGAACACCACAAGCCTGTATTGAGGTATCTCAGGTGATGCTGTGAGATGTATTTTCCAGCAGAACAAATTTAAATCTGATTCTGACTTCCTGATGGCTGTGGGTTTTGAGAGGTTTTAAAAGCCAATTTTAAAAAAGATGCTTTTTTTATCCCTCTGTGTTTACTTTATCAAGTGGATACCTTGAAACCACAGGCCTGCAGAAATTTTTTTTCACTTATTTTCCATGCTCTTCTCTGCTACTCAAGAAAGAGTACTGGACCATGAGGGGTCTTTACTGGGTGTCTGTCTGCCATGTGAAAAATTTTATTTCTGCCTGTTCCAGCAGGTCTGCCTGCCAGCTGTGTTTTGTGTTACTCATTTTCTTGATGTCTTGCTGTTGTGTTATAGTCCCAGCTGTCAACCAAGCACTGCGCTCATTAAATTCCCATTCCATGCAAGAGAGGTTGCAAGAGAGTACTGGAAGGGTGAATTGTTGGGTTCAGATAATGACAATTTAATAGCTAAAGCAAAGTCATGCACACAAGCAAAGCAAAACAAGGAATTCATGCATCACTTCCCAGGGCAGGCAGGTGTTCAGCCATCCCCAGTAAAGCAGGCTCTATCACGTGTAGCAGTGACTTGAGAAGACAAACCCCATCATTCTGAATGTCCTCTCTCCTCTTCCCCCATCCTCCCCAGCTTTTTGTGCTGAGCGTGATGCCATATGGTATGGAATATTGCTTTGGTCAGTTAGGGTCAGCTGTCCTGGCTATATCCCCTCCCAATATCTTGTGCACCTTCAGCATGTATGCTCGCAGTCATACGACAGGGAGAAAAGGCCTTGACTCTGCGCAGGCATTGCTCAGCACTAACAAAAACATCTCTGTAATATCAGCACCTTTTTCAGCACAAATCCAAAACTCAGCCCCATACCAGCCACTGTGAAGAAAATGAACTCCACCCCAACCAAAACCAGCATAGTCACATGGGAAGTTCACCCATGATGCTGCACCACCTTCTGACTAAGTGTCACAGCAGTTTCTTTGATGAAAGGTGCCTTGCTGTGCTGAAGTGAGAGGTGAAAGTGACAGAAATCCTGCTGTCCTGCTTTGCTTCAGCAAGTGGTGCCAGTTTTTGACTTGATGAAAGGCAGAAGTTGGGTAAGTATTGTGCCTGAATCATGGTGTACTAGGGCTGTGCTCTGCTGTTGCTTTTGGTAGATACCCAGATGATGTATCAGGTGATACTACTGTTGAGAAGATGCAGTGTTACCTTTCAGGAGGAGAAAGCCCAAGACAATATTCTTATGTTTTTATTTCATGAAAATGGAATTTTTACCTCAAGACCTGAGAAAAACAATGGTCAAAGAGGACTTTATGTGAGCAAAGTCACTTTAGGAAAAGTCCATGCTGGCAAGCTGCTGAGCCAGGCTTGGCAACATGTTTTCCTTAAGCCCTCTGCTGCAGTGGCGTGGCATAAATGTGTGTACTTACTCAGCTGTGTCTCCCTTTCTCCCAGCAAAATGAGCTGAACTCCTTCCTGTGGACAATCAAGAGAGATCCCCCATCTTATTTCTTTGGCACCATCCATGTCCCATACACGCGTGTCTGGGATTTTATCCCAGAGAACTCCAAGAAAGCCTTCCAGCAGAGCCACATCGTGTACTTTGAGCTGGATCTCACTGACCCCTACACCATCTCAGCTCTCACCAGCTGCCAACTCCTGCCACAGGGGAAGAACCTCCAAGATGTGCTGCCCCAAGACATCTACCGCCGGCTGAAGCGGCACCTGGAGTATGTCAAGCTCATGATGCCATCCTGGATGACCCCAGACCAACGGGGCAAAGGGCTGTATGCAGACTACCTCTTCAATGCCATTGCTGGCAACTGGGAGCAGAAGAGGCCGGTCTGGGTGATGCTGATGGTGAACTCTCTGACAGAGGTAGACATCAAGTCACGAGGCGTGCCTGTCCTGGATCTGTTCCTGGCCCAGGAAGCGGAGCGGCTGAGGAAGCAAACGGGTGCTGTGGAGAAAGTAGAAGAGCAATGCCACCCGCTCAATGGGCTGAACTTCTCCCAGGTGAGGTGGAGTGCAGGGTGCCAGGCTAGCTGTTGAGCTGGATATCACAGCAGAAACAGCATGGTCTGGGGTGTGGGGTAAGTGGTTTCTACCTCGAGACTTGTATCTGCTCCCTGCAGCCCATGCCTCTGCCTGCATCCTCAGGAGAATTTGATAGCGCAGGATCAGGCCAGAGCTGAATTCATTCAGGCCTGGCCTGGGAAGACCCCTGTTCTCTTCCTTGGGCAGCCTTGGGCATGTTCCATGCTCAGAGACACTGGACCTTTGGATGTGTGCTCTCTGACTCTGACTGGGCTGCTGTGCAGGAGCTCAGGACAGGCTGGGGCTCAGTCTCCAAACTTGTTTTTGTAATAGCAAGTTAAAAAGAAAGAAGTGATTACTTGGGGAAAGCAGGGGTGCTGTGAGTAGTGCTGAGAAATAATTGCTGGTTGGAAAGCGTCACAGTGAATATTTTGATGCCCTCAGAAATAGGGGCCCATCATCTGCAATGGGAAAAGTATTTTTTGTTTGTTGGGGTTTTTTTTCCCTTTCTTTGTTACTAGGTGAGGGTCAGCACAGCACAGCTTTCTTCAGGGAGCTTCACAGACTAGTACAGGCCCTGGTGCAAATGCCTTTGTGTCTGCAAACCTGTTGGAGTTCAGCACTGTTTTTCATGCAGCAGAATGACCTCTATATTTTCCATGAGGTGCTCCTCTCTGAACAAAATACACCAGGCAGTAGTGTCGGTTGTTGTCTCTGCCCAGTGGGATCACAGGCATAACGTTGCTGTCTGACTTGGGGTAACTTTGCTGAAGGGTGGTGCTAGTTTGGGGAGTGGAGTGGCATTTGCTTAGTAATAATAAAGACTTGCATTTTGCAGTATGCCCTAGTAGCACAATATGTGCTTTAGTCATAATGCTGAGGAGTTTTGACTGATGCTCAACCTTTACCCCTGCATCCTGAAGCCTATCCTGTCACTGATGCACGGTTTGGAAGGGAAAGAGCAGAAGGCAAGTGCAGCACAGCAAGGGCAAGGACAGCAGCCCTGGACAAATGTCTGAAGTGCTGTGATCCCCCCAGACAGCGTTGGTGTGGGGACCATGGTGCCGGAAATAGCACAGCAGCCCAGCGTGCATCACTTGAGCAGTCCTTAACTGCCTGCAGACCTTCTGCACTTCTCTTTTCCATTGTTTGGAGCTGGGCAACCTCATTTGCATCTCCAGTCAATTGCTTAACACGGTGCTTTGAATCCTTATGCTGTTGCTGTTTGCTCGCAGCTAACCTGGGAATAGGCTGGGAAGTCCCTCTTCCAGCTCTTACCTGGTTGAGGATTTATAAGCATTATTGCCCATGTTTTTCTTTTGCTGGCATTGCCCCTATAGTTTATCATGATAGAAGTGGAGGTATGGGCATTTTTCTCCACTGCCTTTTAAGAAAGTGGTAGGGAGACTGAGATATGTTGATTGCAAATCATATCCCTACTAAGTTCATGTAAATGTTGACTCTTAGGCCTTCACGGTTTTCTTCAAAGAGCAGCTGGTTCTCTGCTGTTTTGTGGATGGGATAAATACCCAGTGATCCAAGAAGCTGCATGGGCAAGGGACACGGAGCTGCAACATCCAGAATTGCCCAGCCTTCTGAGAAGGCCAGAGAGACAAAAACTGCAGAAGAATCTAGCCTCTAGTTAGGAAAATCATACCCCTTTATTGCCCCATGGTGAGTGGAGATGTGCATTTGCATCATGAAGGCTGCAGCTCCTTCCCTGCCTGCTCACTTCCCAGGGAAGAGGCATGCTGTCCCTTGAGGGAGCAGGTCTGGAGCAGCTACTGCACTGCATATTCATACCTCCGCTGCTGCCCGCTACTAGATTTCCAATACAGGCAGCTCAAGGAAAAGGAAAACCAGAGGCAGATGATTTTTGTGGTTCTAAGCCAATTTCATGGCTGTTTCAGAAACTGACTTGTGAACTCTCATGGTTGGCAGTTGTGTAAGTCTTTGATTTCAGAGCTTTCTTCTCAGTTTGTTCAGGCAGTAGAGTTAATTACGTGTTTAATAGAAGCCAAACAAAGAGTTTGAAGTAGGCTCTTTGGAAAATATTTTCTTTAGTGTGCTGCTGTTTGGAAACCCCCAGCACTGGGCCACTTCTGTGCAAACACACAGGCATGACTTAGAAAGTTCTGTTGGGGAAAGTGGAACAAAACACATAAGGAATAGTCTAAAACTGTACAAGAAATATCATAGAATCACAGAATGGCCTGAGTTGGAAGGGACCTCGAAGATCACTTAATTCCATTTCCTCTGCCATAGGCAGGGACACCTTTCACTGAGACCAGGTTGCTCAGAGCCCCATGCAACCTGGCCTCAAACACTTCCAGGAATGGGGCATCCAGCTTCTCTGGGCAATCTGTGCCAGTGCCTTACCACACTCACAGTAAAGAATTTCTTCCTATTATCTAACCTAAACCCATTCTCTTTCACTCTGAAGCCATTGCCCCTTGTCCCTTGTAAAAAGTCTTTCTTGTAGGCTTCTTTCCCATACTGGAAGGTGCATTATAGGTCACCCCAAAGCATTCTCTTTTCCAGGGTGAACAATCCCAATTGTCTCAGCCTTTTTCTATAGGAGAGGTGCTCCTTTCTTCTAATCCATCTTGGTGGCCTCCTCTGGACCTACTCCAACACATCTATGGTGCTGGGCCCCCAGAGCTGGGTGCAGGGTTCCAGGTGGGCTCTCAGCAGAGCAGAGCAGAGGGGCAGAATCCCCTCCCTCCCCTGCTGCCCACGCTGCTTTGGATGCAGCCTAGGACACGTTTGGCTTTCTGGGCTGGCAGTGCCCATGGCTGGGGCATGTCCAGCCTCTCAGCCACCGGCACCCCAAGTCCTTCTCTCAGGGCTGCTCTCCATCTGTTCATACCCAGGGATTGCCCTGACCCAGGTGTAGCACCTGGCACTTAGTCTTGTTAAGCTGCATGAGATTCCTGTGGACCCACTTGTCAAGTTTGTCCAGGTTCCTCTGGATGTCGTCTAGGGAGGTGCTTCTTTTCTTACAGCAGAATCACAGAGAAATTATTTACTTAGCAGAGAAGCAAGTTCATTGTTTTCAGTTTGTTTCTGTGTAGGGTTTTTTTTCTTTCACATCCAAAATTATTCTTCTGGCTTGTAAGGCAAACTCCCAAGCCATTCCAAACCATACATTGTTACTGGCTAGGTCCCTGTTTTGATCCATTCTATTGACCAAGGCCTTGTTGGTGTATGTTATTTCAGGTGAAGGCCTGGAACACTTTATTGTTGTTTCCCTGGGCACAATGCTCAGTAACTGCAAAGTACAGACAAACCCAAATTAGAACTTCCTTCTCCTTGAGAAGAGAAAACAGTAAAAATGAAAAAAAAAAGCGCCACAAAAAACACATACAACAGCCAACAGTGCCTGTCAAGGGGCTCTTTTTCTTTGGGCTTTTGAACCCAAGATTTTTGGTTTATGACTCTCTTATTTTACCTGCCAAATCTGTCTGTTCATGCTCAGCTCAGGCTGCCTGCCCACACTGCCAAGTCATAAAAGTATCATTTTTGTTCAGTACACAATGATGTGTACACAATCTGTGAAATACTTCACTGCCTTCTCAGTACCTCTCTCTTGTGGTATTCACATTCTCTTAACAGAAAGAGACATAATTCTCTGTCCCAGGATTTTTTCCTGGGGAAGGCAGTGAGAAAGCTCAGAGAAAGAAGGAAAACAATTCTTATCTCTACTTGCTGCTCCTGTTGTTTGGCACATGTGGAATGTGTTATGGAGATTGTTTACCCAAAGGGATTTGTTAATTGGACTCTGCTGATGGTTGTTTGGACTGATTGACCAGTTAGATCAAAGCTGTGTCGTAACTGTCTGAAAGGGTCATGGGTTTTTCTTTAGTATAGTATAGTTTTAGTATACAGTAGTAATATAGTATTATATAATATAGCTTAATAAAGCATTTCTTCAGCCTTCTGAATCATAGAATCAGAGCACATTATTCCCTGGATGGGGGTTGCTTTTCTATGATATGCTTTTTCCAAGATCTGTGTAACTTCAGGAGTATGCAAAGATTAGTGTGCCTCCATGCCAGGGCCATGGTGTTTATTTTTCCTCTTTCATGCTGTTTCCATCCTAGTTTGTCTTACAGACTTGTTCTCCCACTCCACCTTCTTGGCTGGGTAGTGCCTCTCTTGTCGCAATAGGTCTCATTCCTAGCTGTGTCTGGGTTTTGTAGTTATGTATGATCTGCCACTGCTGACCTCCAGCATGGAGTCAGTCCCTCCCAACTCTTCCTTTACAGTTATGCATGTGCTTACGTGTTTGCTGTATTGCAGCATTAGTGCTCCAGCCCAAAACAGCTTTGCTGTTGGCTTCAGTAGTGTCATGAACATCAGCTTAGTGCTGGCTCAGATGATAAGCAAGTGTTGCCCCTTGTACTATGCCAGACACTTGCTTTGGTATGCTAAGGTGATGTCCAGGCTGTATTCCTCACAAACTGGTCTCTTGAACACAAGAAGGTTAGACTTATGTCTACCCTTTGTGTGGACCCATGGTTAAGCGTGTAAACACTGTCGAGCCATCACTGCTTCCTAGCCACAACCCTGGCCAGTTTGGCTTTTTCAATACTGGGGCACTTGGTAGAAGATTCTTTTACCTGTTCTTGATTTGAGAATTGTTTCCCCACATGACTTTCCTGTGGTTATACCTTGTCACAGCATTCTTCCTACCTGAGTGTCTGATTACATTGCAGCATATTCAGATGCAGTCTTCAGAGCTGCTTGGGATGCAGTAGTGGCTGGGAGCCACTAAGGGCTGACTGCTCATGAAATCCTGGCTCCTGTCGCCACTGTTCCAGCTGCGAGGCGACAATTAATGCTTAACGTTGCCTGTCCTCAGGGACGCCAACTATCGTCAGCGATGAAAGAGGCAGGAACGACTGAGGGTTGATTAGAAGCTCATTTATGAGAGTATCAGACGTAATTGCATTTAGGAAGGTCAACCTCAGAAGACA